CCTTAATTATGATGGCCCTGTAAATAAGTACTTTTATGAAACAAAGTATTATACAGTGGTTACATTGTGTTGGCAACAAATTGAGGAAATATATATTCGCATTGAGTAACCATGTGTATGAAATGCGGTATAAATTAACATTGACTTGCCTATAATTCATACATTCTTGACTGGATCCTGGGGAGATATGTATTTATTTATTTTACTTTTATAGTTTTACACTTAAAACCTACCCCAATATATCACCATAAGCAATGGGTTTTCTATTTATTTTTGTGGTATTTGGTCAAAACTCAATCTCCTGTCTCTTCTCCATGTCTCATGTGCTTCTGCTCCAAATGCTTTTTGTTTGTTTGTTTTTAATTTACTGTACATTCTTCATGGAGGCAGGTTATTGATTTTTTTACTATATTTATTCATGGAAGCAAAAGTGCTGAAGTGCTGAAGTGCAAAAAAACAAAAAAGATGTAACTTATGCTGTAATATCTGTCTTGGGACTGCAGGAGGCACTGTCACGCTATAGGCACCAAATAACGATTTAAATGGGGCATGCGCAGTAAAATTTTTTAATGTAAATACCTTGGTAAACTTGTCATTCTGAGTGCTATATGGATGCGTAATGTAAACAAACAACAGGAGGAGATGGATTATGCCTCAGATCCATATTGGACTGGTTATTCCTGTGTAAATGACTCAACATGATGACCGCGTGAATGTTTAGTGGCTGATTTAGGTGGTGACGCGGTAAGTAAATCCAATAATCAAAATATAGTTTAAAAAAGGTTGAATATAGGCATATTTCAATCGTTTAATCAATGTTGAATCCATGTTTAAAAAACGTTTGAATTTCGACATCTATTCAACTCCTAATCAATGTTATTTGCATGACATTGATTCCATGTCAGAAAAGATCAAAAATTAACGTTGTGTTCGACATCTATCATATCGAGCGCTTTCAATCGCAGTTCAACGTCATTTTTCAACATCTATTCAATCACAGGCCATAACACTATTTAAATGTTGAAACGATGTCCTTTTGCTATCTGGGCAGGGATGAAAGTGTATTTTTCTTATTTGTAACCTAAATACACATACCTGTATGATGGGACGTGTTTTAGAAAAGGTATAGAGTCACGTATCGATAGGGTCAAGATCATAAAAGAGAATGGAATGGTTTATTGTTAGGGTTATAGTGTTGCATGGCTGAAATATCTATTATCGTGAATAGAGACGTCAATATTTTAAAAGTTAGAATATACCACTAACTCCCTTGGTTGGAAAAAATATATATAAAAAACAACAACATAATTAAAGGTGGGGTTAAAGGCTTTTGTATTCATTTTGATTAGAGTGTATTTGGACTCCTTTAAAGTTTACCTGAAACAAGTTAAAGAACGAAATGTCACACACTAACTGAAAATCTGATATTGAAAGACTAAACTCACTCACTATACCTACTCTATAAATGGCAAATATAAAGTAGAGGCGGTCGCCAAATTAAGGAATCAAACTTTCAAAAATCACAAAAATAGAGCTTAGTAATGATATCCAACTTGTTCCCAGCTTTAAAACAGTTATATTTCTAGAATGTATGTATATCTGGCTTCTGTCACATCTATCAATCCGCTTTTTCAGACGCAAAAGTCAAAATGAGTGAATCAGCCTCACACGGCCAAAAGCCTCAAATTGTGACTCACAGGGCCCAATCTAAGCACAGACAAGGCCCTTTGATAACAGAAGATATGGGCAATAAGTTGAGTTCCAGTTGGTATTTGAAAGAACTGTTAAAAAGGAAACTGTCCAGATGATTATTTGATAGTAATTGGATTAATATTCCAACTATATTATTGTTATGTCTGAAAGTCGTGTCTATGCATATGTTTTTTTGCATATTGTTTGTTTCATGTGGATTTGGCAAGGGTGTAGGGAGACATTTGCTCTAAATTATGATATTTAGAATTTATGCACATTACCATAGTTACCAGGACAGATTTTTCAGACGCTGTAATGTTGTTATGTCATAAAAACGCAACCGATTTAAATTAGTAGATTATCATTTGACCTGAATTTTCCCGATTGACCTAATAAACGATTACAGCTCAGTCATAGAGTTGACGTAGTTATGTTTATATCGCCACTACAGTTGTAAATGTTGCCACCTCTCCTCGCAGGTCACTTCAGTGCTTACCCCAAACACAGCCCTCATACTCTGTTAATGATCATAAATATTTAGAAGCTGCATTGTGTCTCAACTTTTTTTTCCATTGAGCCGCACAGACGCTGATAGAAGCCATGGCTGTTCTGTTCTAATACCTTTCCTTTTCGGGTCAGTGGAGAGGAGCACTATGACACTCTCTGGATTATTTATTCAGAAGACAGGCGCGCAGCCGTCACGTGTACGCCTCCATACATCTACAGCAGGGGTGGCCAACCAGTCAGAGACTAAGAGCCAATTTTTTTTACTGTGTTACAGCAAAGAGCCACATCATACAAATGTGCACTACATAAACATCACCCCAACCCTTACACACGCACGCACACGCGCACGTACTGTACGCACACGAGCAGACACGCGCACACACATGCAATCTGTCTGTGCAGAGAGAGGTGTGCTCTGCTCAGACAGATTTATTGTAAATGTCATCAACATGATAATGACAGAAATTGACTCGTACAGCACTAAAGGGCTGGACTCGACTCTCCCCGGTTTGCGGGCGCTTCCACCGCTCGCTTCAGCCGCTCCCCGGTACTTTTTATTAATGGTTTGGCCCTGGTTCTAACCGGGCGAGTCGATACCAGAACAATTTCACGTCAGCGAACATCAATTATGATTCCGAAATGAATGCTTTCAATCTCTAACCAAGAAAAAAAAATCAAGTTTCAACCCAGTGTTCAGCAGAAACACAACTGTCTTTAGTAAAAGATATAGATTTGACACATAACACCAACACCACTTTAGCTGATTTAGAACCACAGACACATGCTCAGTATAAGACCAGATACTTTTGCATTTGATTGAAGACAGACACTCACCAGGCAGAGTTGAGGCTTATCTCCTGGTGTAATGCTAGCTGTTGTTAGCTGGTTTTAGCATTAGCCGGTGTTAGCCGATGTCCGTAAATGTAATCCATTTGGTCAAACCACCTCCAGACTTTTCGGGTCTGCCTCTACTTCTGCTGCTGCGATCTTTCATTTCACGGTTGTCACTTTTAAGCTTTTTAACTTTTCTCTGCATTGTCATGTTTGTGGGAATCATTCTGCTCCGTCCTTAGTGCTAGCTCCACAAACACCTTCTGGTTTCTGGTGGAACCAGCGAGATCAGGCTGGTGTCCTCTCCTCAAACTGAGGAAGGTGTTGCCCTCATCCAGCGACCAAGGAATTGTTTTCCGTACGGACGTCATGGTTCGAGGCAACGTGTTGTTTGTTATGATATTTGCTACAGCTGAGGTAGCAGCTGCAGAGTGATTGACAGCGCATCTGACCAATCAGAATTGACGTTCGCCGACGTCAGATTGTTTTGGCGGCCTGGCTAGTGGAGTGAAGTCGGCCTTTACTATTGGTCAGAACTACATATGGAATGAAAGGCAGCGCCACCACCAAGGCGTTTTTGACGCTTGTCGAGTGAAAGCCCGAGAGCCGCACGGAACCAGCCAAAGAGCCGCATGCGGCTCACGAGCCGCGGGTTGGCCACCCCTGATCTACAGTATGAGCGGCGTGTTTTGGTTGCAATTTTAACACAAAGATCAACTAGCCGGACACGGTTCCACTCAGATTTGCTGATAAAGGGTTGTGACGAACAGTGTAGTCTGTGCTGAGAAGACATGCTCCATTGTCTCAGTGTTCAGTGAAGGGGATAAAAACAATCTAGATGAGTTAACATTAATGCTTGCAAACATACTACTGTATGTAGTCTATGTATATGTATGAGCAGATTTAAAAAAAAAAAAAAATGAAATCTGTTTCCATTTTGGCCTATCGCTGGCATTCTAATTGCAGTGTGGCTTTTTATGGAGCTCTTGTGTTAATGGACATGATGCAATTTGAATTCAAATAAGGTTCTTCAAAATAGAGACCTTTTTCTATTTAAAGAAATGCTATTAATATTTAGAGACGCAGGCATACATGGTAAAATGTAATATTAATGGTCACATGAAAAGGCTAGGTTTTAATGCAGTTCATGTATTGGCTGCTTCGCTACCACGCAGCCCTATAGATATGATTATCTGTGAATTATACACTGGAGTTTTTTCTTCAAAGTTGTATATTTTTAGTACCAAACTAACCAGGCAAGGTTAAACTTTGTTCTATAAATGATTTAGACAAGCCTTATTTAGACAGCACAAGTAATGGTTGGAGTAATCTAATTTATTGTGGACAGATTGTGACGACAATAATGTCCAAATTCAATCGTCTCCGCCTGTAATTACATTGGGAAGACTGGTCACCCTTTTCTGCTTGCGTATATGTGTTGTTATAATGAGATAGGATCTTTGACAGAAACAGGTTGGAGGCTGATTGGAGGATAATGGTGTCACATGAGAAGGTCCGTACTATATCCTGGAGGATCGTTCTGGGAGTTAGGGAGACATATAGTCATAAAGTTTGTTGACTAGTTTTGGTTCAACACATCTTTATCAAGAGTGATCCAAGATATGTTTTTTTCTATTTGAATTAATTATAACTATGAACTTGAGATTGTTTTTTTTTTATTCAAATGTCATTGAAACCATGGGGAGGGTTTTGTGGATGTTTTTTTTGATGGCCCCTTCCTTTAGATGAATATCCTCTGGCTCTATAAGCTTCAGTTCCCATGTGCATGTGCACTCGCTGATGTAATGATGAAATATAGTAGCAGCCAAAATTTATATCTCACTCGGTACAACATGATTCTGACCTTTCTGTGTCCTCTCCCTTCAGCATCTTCTGTCCAGACTCCATGCCCTGCCCTGGGATATTTAATCAGTTCCACATGACTTACGCTCTCTTCTCTTGTCTCGCAGGTTATGGCCACGCCGCACCCAGCACCGACGGCGGGAAGTCCTTCTGCATGCTCTACGCTCTCCTCGGAATCCCCCTCACCCTTGTCATGTTCCAAAGCGTGGGCGAACGGATCAACACGTTCGTCCGCTACCTCCTGCGGCGCTTCAAGAAGTGCCTGGGCATGCGACGCACCGAAGTCTCGATGGCCAACATGGTCACTTTCGGATTTGTGTCCTGCTCAACTACGCTGTGTCTGGGAGCGCAGGCCTTTTCGCATTTCGAGGGATGGAATTTCTTTCATGCTTTTTACTACTGCTTCATCACACTGACCACAATTGGGTTCGGGGATTACGTGGCGTTGCAAAATGAGCAAGCATTGCAAACTCAGCTGCAGTATGTAGCCTTTAGCTTTATCTACATTCTGACTGGACTCGCTGTGATCGGGGCGTTCCTCAACTTGGCCGTGTTGCGGTTCATGACCATGAACGCAGAAGATGAGAAAAGGGATGCGGAGCAGAGAGCGTTGCTAGGCCACAACGGACAAGCGGGCCACGTGCATTGCTCCTTAGATCCTGGTTCACCGATGTCAACGCCGCCGGGTTGCGGTGGCGTTAGCGGGGTGAGCGCCAGCGGGGCGGCGAGTCGCGGGCTTCGAAATGTGTATGCGGAAGTGCTGCATTTCCAGTCCATGTGCTCGTGTCTGTGGTATAAAAGTAGAGAAAAACTGCAGTATTCGATTCCTATGATCATCCCCAGAGACCTCTCCACCTCGGACATAGAACAAGGCGATGGCTATTCCAACATGCTGCATTCAAATGGATGCGTGTGCAGTCTGCAGCACCATTCGGCCATTAGCTCGGTGTCCACGGGTTTGCAGTGCATCAACACCTATAGGAGACTCAACAAGAGAAGGAGTTCTATTTAAACTGTACATATTTTGATTTTTCTGATGTAGGGTATCGGAGCATATTTTGAATTTGTACATACTGACAGACTGCAGTACCTCCACCAGACAGAGTTGGCATCGTTGGTAAGGTGGGAAGTTTAAATGAAACAATTAATTATGTCGCTTTGTAAATAAGATGCGATACAACAAAATCACGATATTTTTGACAATACACCTAATAACTTTTTTCTGTTTAATATTCAGAGCTTCTTTTTATCAAATGTTATAAGCAGAATGTGATAAATAGGTATAGCAAACATACAAAACAGATGCCCTGGGTATAGACCAAGTTATGTTGGCGTTTAATATTCATCTTTATTATTCTATTATTCTGTTAAAGGTGGGGTACATATGTTGTTAGTCCAACAGACGGAAAGAGTTAAACCAACAACCCTCTGTCGTTGTATTATTCTAAAACACTATTTTTTGCGTGCTTGCGAATGGGCACCTGCAACTCACTATTTTTTCACTTTTTTGTCAGAAAAAGCTGATCTAATGGACCAGAGTCCAGATAATGCATAGGATTGTGATAGAACCCCTGTTTTGAGAGCGAGGAAAGAGTTGGATGTTTTTTTATATATTGTTCATTTATTTTGAAGATGAGGTACCCCAGCTTTAATAATGCATTTTGGAACTGTTCTGATCGGGTCCACTACCTGTTTGATGCCAAAGATGTGTTATTGCTTTACTTGGAATGTTGCTCAATATGGTTTCAAACTTATATATTGGATATCCATAAAGATTGGATAGATATGGATGTAGATAATGGAAATATTCTCTCTCTTTCTCTCTCAAAGACATATATCTAAGATTAACGTCAATCAGTACAGTTGTGGAATGCACTGTTAAAATGTTTGCATGTTTCCCCTCGAGTAGGTTTCCTCGGGGTGTTCCGGTTCCACACTGAACATGCACCATTTGTAAAATCCTCCAGTTGTGGAAGTCCTGGTCAAATGGGTTTATTTCAATCTCTTCATTCAGACTACAATAGTCAAAAAAAAATAAACAAAGCATAAATAAATGACTGAAAGGGGTTTGGCTGAAGTAAAACACTTATTGAAGCCAAACCTCAAACAAATTCATTACAATTTAAAGATAGATTGCACCAAACAGCAAATGGTCAAATGGAAAAGACAAATTTGCCTAAGGAGACATTAATGAATACCATATTGTTGATGTGCAGACGCTTTTCCAACTTTGACCTTCTTGTTTTTGGAGATTGACTAATACAGACATGGATTTAATGCCTACAAGATTTATACTCAATGAAAAAACAAGTACAGGGAGTTTCTCTATTAAGCCATTTGTTTTATTTTGCCAACATAAATTCATCTATGTATTAAATTTGACCTCAGAGCTGTAAAGCAGACCTGATTTAAATTATGTAATGAATACTATTTTTTATTATGTTTCTTTATTTTCCCCACAAATGCAGGGTTGTATTGAAATGAGCAAATAGTCAATGATTGAAGTGTATATAATTAAAGAATGACTGTATAGATGTATATATATACACTAATAAAATGACTTTAATTGCCCTACATTTCACTTTTACTCATGAATTGTGCATATGTTAATGATGACCGAAAATGTATCTGAATTCAACACTGTAAATATTACGTTATTAAGGGATATTTTTTCAATACAACTTTTGAAAATCATTTACAGTTTTAATGAGCAAATGGACCTTTAAAACCTCACTGCTTGTCACTTTTTTCCCTGTTTGTGAACATTGAGGATTTACTGTACTCAGCTGTTGTCTTAACATGGTTGAAACTCAACTACTGCACCTTAGTTACATTCAATTACCATGTTGTCTTAAGAACAGGAACCAGAAAATGCTCTTAATATTACAAAGAATTATTCATATTTTGGATCTGGAGTTTGGAGCACTACATGAGTATCATATTTTACAATCGTGCAGAAGGCAAACCAAACCATTATTTTGCTTATGCCACTTTTATCCTCACATCGAGAAAAAATGCAATGCTTATTTTGAATATAAATAATGACTGAGGAAAAACTCCTAAATAAAATCCAGTGACACCTGATTATTTTGTTCTATATAGGGGAGCTCTTATTTATTGCAGTTTTACTCTCACAGTTTCTCATGTTGTGAAAGAGGGTGTGACTTTGCATTCACTGTTTGATTTTATTTTGAAAACAATAAAAAGCATAAAACAGTCTGATTTCATTGATGCTTTTTATCATTTGTTCCACTTCACTTTTTGCACCGACTATGCTTTAAAATAATGAATTGATACAGTCTCATCCACCAAAGATTCAGCAGAATAAAACAATGTGTTCTAAATAAATCATTATTTTGATCAAAACATCAAATGTCAACACTGTGAGGGCTATATTCCGTGGAAAATCCCAAGACTCTGTGCACAGCATGAAATATATAAACAGGCTTTCATTCTGTACCCCAGGCTGGGCTATATGTGCCCACTTGTTGAGGAAGTCCCAGCTGTGACTGCATGCTGAAAGTCTTGCCTCGATCTGTACTCTTTAGATGCTCAAAAGTCTAATATGATAAAGTCTTTAAGCAAAAGGTACAGAACTATGTAAACTAGATCTGATGTATGTATCTGAGACAAATGTTAGGACCATTACTCCTCAATGTGAAAGCCGGATCATAAAAGATCTCAGAAGCTAAGCAGCAAAGAGCCTGGTTACAGTTGTACAGTTGGCCTGGTTGTGCGAGATTAAACCGGGTGCTACGTAGAATGAGAGAAAGGTATTTTTCTGAAATTTTTGAAGACTGCAGTAACAATCTGTGTTCTGTTTTCAATAGTTAATAATAGATAAACCCCCTTGTCCTGCTGCCATTGGAGCTAACTTCCAAACGTGAATGTAATGAGTTTGCAAATGTTTTCAATGACATGGAATCAAAAACGCCATTGTCTCCAATCCACACATAACCACCCAGAAAGGCTCTTTGAGCTAACTCACTTTGCACCTGTAAATGATCAAACTGTCCAAGAGATAATCACAAATCTGAGCTCCTCCACATGTAGCCTGGATGTACTACCCACTAGATTTCTAAAGTCTGTTCTGAGCAGTCTGTTACCTTCACTCACACATACATACCTGTCATACAATTGAGGGATTTTATAATACAGTATTATCTTTCTTTCTTCATACGTCATTCGTACTGTGATTATTTATGGGCACTTTGGATTGCCTTGTGTATGAAGTGTACAATACAAATAAACTTGCCTTGCCTTGCCTCACAGTGAAGGTAGACCTCTGGGAATACCAGGTGCCACAGTGAGGTGGCTACAATGCGAGTGAATGATGTCGGTGAGGCCGATTAGATTAGGTTTAAAGAATTAGAGAATAATAATGAAGCGTCTGGGTGTCACAAAATTGGCTACATAAGAATTATTATTATTATTACATGCACTCAAAGCAACCTAAGACCTGCTTAGCACTAGTCTGAGCTATTGTCTAATACTAGCCACTTCATCTTGGACTATTTGTGTAGTAGGTGAGAGTTTTCCATTCACCAATGACTTTCTCAATGACAACTTACATCAACACAATACATATTATTCCAATTTAAATGACTTATTCCCTGGTACTATTTTTGGCCCTGTGTGTCCAGCCAACCTGAAGAACACAGATTTGCTGATCGTGTAAAGTAGTCTATATGCAGCGACATCATTTACTGTGCATACCAGTGTGAGCTCATGAATTATTAGGCAGAGCATGGTGGACTTGCATATCTTTAACACTTATGTAACACGGTCATTTCATTGCCAATGTAAATGAGGGAGTTCCATGCTATTGTAGACTTTGTTTTATTTTTAATATCATGTTCCATATCAAAATTTATAATATAGTTAACTCTTACTATCTCTTACAGTATATCAGTGTTCTCTGAATTATATTACTAACCCACCAATACGTATTTCTTCATTCATTGAATAAATACTTTATTTAACCTGCAAGGGAAAATTCAGAAGAACGTCGGTATAGCTGTTACATGTAATTAAAATAATAATAATCTAAACATATAACTCGCCTTAAACAGTGGTCATCAGCTGAGAGCAGCAGGGACAAGAAGTCTACAGCTCGTAATAAGGTCCTCTCTCTGCAGAAGGGTTGGGCCAGCTGGAGGTCCTTGGGCACGATGGTTGCCCTCTGGCATCATGGGGCATAGATGTTTGCAAACAGACAGACCAGGTCGAGGTGGAGATCTGGAATGCTCTTTAAAATCTCTATCAACCTCACACATTGAGCATAATAAAATAAGAGAGCTTTTATTCATCCCACAGTGGAAAAATGTCAATGTTGCAGCGTACGTACAAGGCAGTAGAGCACACAGGGAGCACACAAAATATATATAAATAAAAGTTGCTACTTTCACCCTCCGCAGGCGGTTATCCCTCTCTCAGCTCGGGTCCAGAGGCCTGGGAGCTTGAGGGTTTTGCGCAGTATCTTTGCTGTTCCTAGCACTGCACATTTCTGGTCCGAAATCTCCAAGGTTTTTACAGAGACCTGCTGTAACCACTAACTCCAGCTTTGGGGTCACTGCCTCGAGTGCACCCATCACCACAGGCACTACTGTCACCTTTACCTTCCAAATGCTTACTATTCCCTCTGTCCTTTGTCTACTACCACAACGTCTGGTTGGTTCGCCATCAACCTTCGGTCGGTCAGAATCTGGAAGTCCCAATGGATCTCTGCACGCTCATTCTTCACCATCTTTGGAGGAGTTTCCCATTTAGACCTTGTGGTTTCCAGCCCATACTCTACACAGTTGTTCCTGTACACTATGCCAGCTCTTGGTTATGGCGTTCCATGTAGGCCTTCCCTGCCAGCATCTTACAATCCTGAATCCCTGATCCCTCTGACCTGATGCCGGAAGAGCAGAATTCTGGTGATGACCTGCTTACCAGAAGCCTTTGTGTACTTATTGCCTATGAAAAATTTTGTTCTAGATATTTATTTATTTATATATTTGGAGGATA